AGTAGGGTAGAGAGGAGACAGAATGGAGTAGCCAGATGAGATGTGATCTGAACTCTGCGATTGGGGAAAGCGTTCTGGTCCTGATCTGATTATGTAACATTTATAACTCGGGCCAGCAGCAGCAGCAGCTGCAGAGAGATAAGGGAGAAGTGGCATAAGGACCTCGATATTACATGGGGGCTGTTTATTTTTCTGTTTTCATAGAAATCTAGGAAATACCTCATTGGAGTATAAGGAAATGTCTGTAAATTGATGACGTGGTTTGTAATATAGGACACACCAAATGTTCCAAAGTTGTGACGTCTGTGCTGCCAAAGTCAAGCCTCGGAAAAGGCTGCCTCAATCTTGTGAGTTTAATTTTTGCAATAAGATTTAAGTCAGAAAATTGCACAGAATTGGTTGACCCTGGAAACGAATTAGAAAGCTGTGGGGGATGGTTTAGATGATGACATGACTCGATTCCTCCCAAAGTGCACACATCTTACAAAACTATTTATTATAGGCATCATATAATGAAGCATGACACTGCAACTACGTGTCTTATTTCCTTCCTCGGATTGACTGAAGTGTACGATACAGAACAGTTGCTCCATTTCCAGCTTGACAATCAGGGCCGGCGGTTGATGGCAGCACTGTTGGGCGTGCATTTATCTAACCATGTACATCTGTTATATCTCAGTAAAGTACATTCAGTCAGATGTTCTACGACCCAAAACTAGTGATGCACTGATACTATGTCTTTTAGAGAGACCAAAGTACTGATACCAAGTACTGATATGAATATTTAATAGTGTTTTATTTTCATCAGATGTTCTTCATTTTCTGACTAACAAATTAAATGCTTCTAATTTACTAACGAGAGATTACATAACATCCCGCTGCTCTAAAGTGGTATCGGGTGCTGTAGCAGAGTAGTTTTATGATTACATGAGCAACAATATGGGACTTGATACTGGTATATACTGTACCTACCCAAACCAAATACCTATTGAGTCTAGCAAGACAACACTGACTGAAACTAAATATTAGTGTTAGTATTTGTAATTCTAACTCTAAATGAAACATGTAAAAATATTATATTATTGTTTTATGTTCAGACCTCACAATATGTTGCCTTTGCATTGGATTAATTTTGCAAGCCAATATTATCATAATAAAATAATCATTCCAAAATATAACCAGGAGCTACAATGTGCACAATACAAATGTGAAAGAATAACGGAGAAGAAAAACTTGGACTCATAAACCAAAATAAGAAGACACAAACAAATAAAATGCAAACTAAAAAAGAGGCAGTATAGTCGTACTGAATCTGCATTTCACATTGTAGCTCTTATATTAGTAATGTTTGGTTACAGTTTTTATTGGATTGTTTGCAATCCCACGTTAACCCCATTTACCTGCCTGTAGTCTGTATATGATTCCTTTTCTGCCAGGTATAGATAATATCAGTTATCTGCAATTCTATGTCCAATAATACCAATATATATCCTGACATATGTAGTTTTTGCAAAGTCAAATGAGAAATTGTTAATGGATACAATAACAAGAGAGGAATGTTTGTTTTTGGCTCATCTAGCAAATAACATAACATAGACCCAAAAATTTGCATCTAAAAACTTAAAATTGCCACCAGTCAGTCCTTCTTATTGATTGACATTGCTAATAATACCTAATACAACCAGAGATATTAAAGGGATAGCTTCAGACATATTATACACACCCAGTCTCATTCCAGTCTCTACCCACTATCCACTCCCCCGCTGTTTGGGTGGAGGGTTCATCACATTAAGGGCCATCCTAAACCAGGCAGTAATGAGTAAGGGTCAGCTGTAACAGAGAGCTTGCACATAATCATCTTTCGTTTCTGTGATGGAATCTATAAATGTCCCGTCCTCATCTTCACTGCCTCTGATACACATGTCCTACCGTATCACTCTGTCCTCTCTGAGCTCCGACTACCTGCTAAACAGCCTCTCTGGGACTCCATTTTCTCCCCACTGTCACAGTTGGTGTTTTAGTTGGTGCTACTCTATACATAATAAATCTTTCACTTCTGTCAGCTCCATTCTTTCTTTTGGACAAATGCTCCTCTGTCAGGCAGTTGTAGAACCTTTTCTCAAGCCAAAACACACTGCTGAGACTACAGGACGTTATGTTTAGATTCGAGACTCTCTCACTTCTCTGCTTTTGTATTTGCAGTATAAGGGTTACACTTGATGAGAGAACAGACCACAGTGTATGGCCCCAGCTCAATTTACAATTAGGTAACCCTCGTATCAGTGGGAGGCTAAAGGAATGTGATATTGTGGAAAAATTAGACTGCTAAGTTTGTTTAGTTTGTATGGGATATGTTGTGTTCCTTTGAAGCCACATTGTGCTTTGTTTTATGGTGATTTCAGGTGTGTTAAAACCATATAACAATATGACATATCCTCATGTTATTTTCATTTAGATTTAACACATTCATTATCCTAAACTCTTAATTAGTCCTTTACTCTACTAATCAACCTCCATTTTCTTGTTTTGTCTTTTTTTTTATGGCTGTTGCCACAGTTCTTTATTCTGTTTTTTTGTCTTACTGTTTGACATTTTTCCATGATAAAGAAAATGTAGTGTTCTTGTTCATCTGTTTTTAGTCTGTTTATGGAAACACGTTTTCTGTGGAATAGTTTGTGTGCAATTGACTACAGCAGTTACATATTACATGCAAATCTATACATCAGTAGATTACGAGTGAAAACCTCTTATGTAACAGTGATTATTTTATGCAGTCTGGTGTTATTGCTATATGTAACCAGTAATGTGTAGTTAGTGCTCAGAAAGCCTTTACTCGGTTAGCAAGCAGGAGGCTTACTGAGATTGGAGACAAAATTGTAGATGTTTTTTTTTTAATGAATAAAGCTCATACTGAAGAAAAAATACAGTATTTTTGAAATGGAGAATATGTATAAGTTATACAACTTGCAACTAGAAGAATAATCTGTCAAGTTTCATTTTCCCATGTTAACGCTGTTTCTTACAAACAATATACTCCATAAACTCAGAAAATATGTACTTTTAGAATAGATTTCCTTCACCACCAAGTGAGGGTGTGAAATTCATTGTCTTTGGTTTGCTAGAACTAGTTTGTGTGACGTGTTCTCCTAAAGTGTTTATAGTTGTTTGGTTAATAAGGGCGTGAAGTGGGTGTGAATTATACTAACCATTATAAAATTCATTCAGTAGCAGGCAGGCTTGGATGCTTAATCACTAGTCAGCCACAGAGCGCTGTGCAGCCACACACACGTGTATTTTTTGTTCATTAATTCAAAATTGTTTGTCTTCTTCCGCAGAGCCCATAGTGAGGAATGGTCGTCCTCCGTCAGCCCACAGTGTCCACTCCTTCCTCCACCAGTACACAGGCTCCTTTAAAAAGCCGCCGCTGCGACGGCCTCAGAGCGTCATTGGAGGAGGCCTGGGCTCTCTCATGGTCATGCCTCGCAACGGCAGTCGCCTCGGTGAGACGCACACACTTATCACATCCACACACACACACACACACACACACACACACAAACACACACACAAGGCCATGATCACATTTTATATTTATCTTTTCATTGAGGTTTTTATCAGGAGGTTTCTTTTGTGTCAATAGGTAAAATCTTTATAGATGTCACTACAGTGGCTTGATTTTACTCTTGATTTTTATTATAATCCGATGTGAAGCTGCTAGATTTGCCTGTTTTAATAGCTCAAATATCCTCAAAACTACATGTAAAATCCTTGTGTTACACAGTTCTACTGAGTCAGCTGAGCCTACACACACAGTAACATATTATGTATGAAAACATGTGCTCAAAAAAACCCCACTGCTAGAGGCATATGTTAGTGCAGGCACACACATAGCAGTACAATCATTCTAGTGTTACATTCAGAGACACAATAAGCCATTTGTTAATAAATGAGACTAAAGATAATTACTTTGGACACTTCCAGCAAACCAGCAGCTTAGATTCCTAACCCACATTCAATATTTAAATTCACAACATTCCCTTATATAAACATAAAGCCTGGAGGAAATGGCAATGTGCTTTGTATGTATTCAACCTGAGTTTGTTTAGGCATGGGAAAATTACAGTGTGATGCATGGATTTGTCTTGTAAGGCCCTGTGGCAATGAAACAAATTAAATCTATCAGTCAAACTTATTAAACCTAATGTACTTGTTGTGTATATCCTCTGCCCGACACAGCCGGGAGCTTGATAAGAACAGAGGGGCTCGTAAAAGTGTCCAACACAGTGTTTTTCTTTCCTGTTGAAATCATCAGCTGCTGTTGAGCCCTGCCCTGTTTTCCACAGACCTGCTCCATCTATCAAACTCAACCTCTCTTCCTCCTTTTCTCTGCCTGTTTTTGTTTTCTTTCTCTACCCCAGATATCGTCCATGAGAACCTGAAGATGGGGTCTGATGGGGAGAGTGACCAGGCGTCGGGGACTTCGTCTGATGAGGTGCAGTCGCCCACGGGTGTTTGTCTGAGGAACAGAGGGAACAGACGCATCTCTGCAGAGGTGGGTTTTGTTTCTCTGTATTTTCAGACTTTTCAGTGTCCTTGCATAGCCCTTTGTGCTTTTTCAATGGAGGAGAGCATGTGAGTCACTGGCAACTATTAACAAGCTTTGACGTTTGAATATGTTACTGTTATGAATCATAACACATTTATTCTTACCTGGCTTAACTGTTCAGCCTCCACTTTGTCCGTGAAGGTATGTTTTCATTAACTCACCGAAAGGTAAAGGAATATAAGCATTTGACCTTTTATTTCTGCGAGGAATGGCATTACAGCTCCACGCTGTGACTCAGCGTGGGTGTATTCTGGTGGTGTGTCATGAACACGCAGAAGTCGCAGCAGCCCACATAATCTTAGCAGGACACACACACATATGCACACAGTGACTCCACATAGTGTACTACTGAACATGACAACTGTTTTACAAAGGTTTCACAGTGGCTACCACCTCCACTCACTCAACCCCTTTGCTTACTTTCTCTCCCTTACACACACAGTAACACAGAGTCAGTAAGGGGCAGGCAGATTCTGACATTCCTCTGGTGGTTACATAATGTCAACACATTATGGAAAGACTTCTCGCTGTGATTATTATTGTTTTGTTGTTGTTGAGGGATTTCATTTTACAACAAGCATTTGTTTAAATCCAGGGCGTGTGAAATACAGCGCAGTGTTATTATCTCAAAATCATAAAGTTTAAATGTTTGAGAACAAAAGCAAACCACGGTAAAGCTG